ATGCACGGTTGAACAGGCAGGTGGCTCGCCAGTGTGGCCTTGGGTGCCTTATTGCCTATGTGGAGGTCGCCTTGCAAAGAAGAGCTGTCTGGGAAAGATGAATGGACCTGTGGTCTCTAGGCCTGCACGGCCTGCCGGGGCTCAGACGCGCCCTCTGTGAGAACGTTTCCAGACACTTTGTGCATGCTATTTTCTTTTCTTTTTTCCTTTTGAGATGCGGACTTGCTGTGTAGCCCAGGCTGGCCTTAAACTCCAGTGATCCTCCTGTCTCAGCCTTCCAAGTGCTGGGTTTCCAGGCGTGGGCTGCCACCACGCTCTGCTTCTGCATGCTGTTTTTGTAAAGTTTCCTGTATAGCAAATGTTACTTAAGTGATACATTTCCTTTGACTTTTTTTGTTCAAAAACAGAGCCCTAGGATCATGGAGGAGCCTTAATATTAGGTCATTCCGAGTCACAGCCCAGCTACCCACTATCTATAGTTTCTGTGTCCCAGCCAGGAGTGCCTTCAGGCCCTGGCAGAGGTGCCCCCGTGCAGCCCTCCCAGACCAGAGCTGAAGGCTGTCCCTGTGTTTGCCTAGCCAGTGCTGTGGAGATAGTACCCTGCTGAGCACGGTGAGCCCTTTGAAATGAGGCATGGCCGGTCAGATGTGGAGGATGGCCATCTGTCTCATTAACAGGCTGAACTGCTCCCATGCCTTAGTTGCTGTGGGTGTTTCCCTTTACTAAGAGGATACCAAGAGCAAGGAAGCCCAAGGAAAATTACAACGCATCGCAGTAATGACAAACATTTAAAATTTTTATATAAGATCTTTACCAACATCAGTCTCCAAATGCAAATGTTGATCTTGACAATCATGGTGTCAGGTGCCCTTTCGTTCAGGAAGGTCATACGCCAGCTACTCCTTGGCTGGACTCTGTTTTTCTTTGCCCCATTCCCACAGTTGCAGTTTCCCAATCCTTTTGTACTTCTGAGTCAGAGCCCTTATAGCTTTGCACGTTTAAGCCAGGCACAAGGAGAAGCAGATGTCAGAAATGTTCACTCTGTAGCAGGCTTTCGGAACCAGTCACTGTCGAGATAGCTTCTACTGGTCAATTAGTACATTTAGTAAAATAACAAAACTGAGAAGCAGTGCAGAGTCATGGCAACATACTGGGTCGCAAGTCAGTCTGCCAGTTTGAACCCCAGCTCTGCTGAGCTTTAGCTACTTGACCTTGGGCCAGTTGGAAATTCTAGGTGCTTCGGTCTCCGGACGTGCAGGGACCCTCTCTCCTTTGGTTGTGTGAAGAGTGCAGGCCACGCCAGGCCACAGCACGTTCACACACAACAGTGACAGGTGGCTTCTCTGGATGTGCACGAGCCAGTGGCTGTTCTCTGCATGGTCCACTGTGGTAAAGTTGGGGCCAGGCCTCAGGGAAGGGACTCGGCCGTGGGGATGGAGTTCCCACGAAAGCGAGTAGTGTCCTTTGGACAGAGGCCCCACAACTCCTCATCCCTGCTGTCTGGGCACAGTGAGAACGAGGCAGACTGGGAACTGGAAGCAGACCCTCGAGAGGCCACAGGCTTCTTGACCTTGGGCTTCAGCTTGCAGAGCTGTGAGAAATAAATGTCTGTTGCCTTTGAGCCGCCCAGTCTGCTGTTTGAATAGCAGCCCGAGAGAGTTGGGATGTCCTGTGCTGTGTGTCAGTTACGGCGAGGTGCTATCCTCCCACCATGTGTAATGAGCTGCTATCTGCTTTGAACATAGAGTTTTAGATGATACGATTAGGGCCTGAGTCTGAGCTCACAGCAGCCTCCTAGAATGCATAGTACCTCAGGAAGCAGGCAAATCCGTTTCCTCTGGCTGCCAAAACAGGAAGTACAATCGCACTGACCTAGTAATGAGAAAGCTGAGTGGTCATGGGGTCAAACCCAGGACCTGCCTCTGCCTGGGGTTTCCAAGGCTGGGTGCCCTACATGGCAGAGCCCAGCTGCCTCCTGGTACTTCCTTGCTGCCCTGTCACACTCAGGGGCTTGTGTGCCTGCCTGTTAGTGGGGCGTGCCAGGCAAGGTGTCCCAACCCCCACAGCTACCTGTGTGGGTGGTACACTCCCTCGGCCTGGCCGTGTGCTCTTGTCTCCGAGATGGCCTTGTTGGCTGCAAGAACTGGTAGCATAGATGGAGGTGCACATGGGGAGAGATTTGTTATAAATTATTATTTAAACTACCTTGATAGGTCTCTGCTCCCTCACCAAGAAAGGAAATTTTAGTGGTGGAAATAAATGGTCTGGGCTAGCCTATTCAGTAGCCTGTTGAGGCTGTGTGCTGTGGTCTGCCTTCACTCCTCTGTGTTTTAGCAGTGTCTCGAGAGCGTCTGGGTGCCTCAGGCCCCTGTACCTGCCCTGGGGAGGTTGCTTTAGCCACAGAGGTAGGTCACACCTGCAGGCAGGCATTGTTCAGGCCCATACGGGGCTGCCTCAGTTCCCTAACTCAGTTCTCTCCACAGTCAAACTGGAAGGGATGAGAACCAAATTAAATTTCCCCATACGGTCAACATTGAACCTAACCATTGAATTTGATTCAGTTCTTGTCTCATTCGTTTTGTGACCAGAGTCCTGGGAAGAATGAAGTTCGTGAGCTAAGTACCACTGTAACTGAGTGGCTGTCCTGGGAGCTGAGATGGAGTTCTTTTGAGCTCTTTCCTGTCCATGCACTGGAGCCAATACCCATTTTAAGAGCACCCTTTGTTTTCGTAGTACTTGATAGGAACGTTTGAGAGTAATAATAGCTGTGTGTGCTGGGAAATCAGGGCAGTGTTTCTTTACATTCTGGTTCGCTAGTCAAGTCACTGGGGAGCTCATAAGATGCCACCACCTGGGAGCTCAGCAGAAACCTGTCCTCGCTCAGCTTTGCAACCTGTGTGTCTGAGATCAGAATGTCAGTGCGCCGGGCTCTTCCTTGGAGCTTCCTTGCAGCTTCTCGTCCCCCTCTGTCATTGTCAAAACACCCGTCAGGCCGGCTTAGGGCCCCTCTCAGGACCCGTTTTAACTTACCTATCAACTTCAAAGGTCTTATCTTTACCCCAATTACATTATAAGGTGGGGGGTCAGGACTTCCACGTGAGTGTGGGGGAGCACAGTTTGGGCCCGACAGAAACTGAGGTTAAAGCTCACTGGTTAATTCCCAGCTCGGTCAGCTGACATCTTCCTTGGCAGATGTGCTGGTTGACCTTCAGCCTTTTAAATGAAGACACAAGCTACCCAGTTGTCCATAATAGAGTGTAAGAAAAGTTGTTCCTTTCTAATCTGCACATAGACAGGCCTTCCTGTCCGACAGAGCTTCCTGAGGGAGCTCAGCCTGGGAGGGTATTACACAGAGGCATTTCCTTCTCCACTGTTAGTCTTGTGCACAACTGTGAGGCTGCACAGGAAAAATGTATGTATGGTTGTATGTGTAAAACCCACTGGAAGATGAGAAAGTGTCCATATGGTTGGTTTAGTTTCCGTTTAGTGATGAATGTTGATTTTTACATGTTAATCTTGAATCAGTTTAATGAAGCAATAGAAATTGGCAAAGATCAGATACTTGAAACTAAAGTTTTTTTGTTGTTTGTTTCTTTTTCCACGCTGGGGATTGAACCCAGGACCTCAGGAATATTAGCTCTACCAGTGAGCCACCCCAATCCTGAAGATTTTCTTGCTTTATTGATTTCTAAGACAACAACCAAATAAATGAACAAGGTAGAAAGTGATAAGTTCTAAAAATTGTTCTTTCTGTAAAGATGAAAGCTTTTTTTGTTTTTTTGGTATCAGGGTTCGAACTCAGGTCCTTGCGCTTGCGAGGCAGGCAGTGGAACCACCGAGCTAAATCTCCAGCCCTAAAATTTTTTTTTTTTTTTAACAAAAATGTAGGATTCATAGCCCTCTCACCCTCTCCTCACCAGGCCTTGTTGGCAGTTACGTCCATGTACTGACCTATCTTCACTGCACCCCAGCTCCCTGCCACTCTGCCCCCCCAAGGGCAGTCAGCTGGTCTGTGATGGAGTAGACAGGGACTGGCTCTCAGGCTCCCAGTGCCACCCCAGGCCCCACCTCCCATGTGCCCAGAAATGTCATTTCTCTCTGCAGTCACTTGACATCACCAGTGATTTCCGGGAGGATTTTTTCCCTTCTAGTTTCATTATAGCAGAAGAAGCAATCATGGTAATGGTCTGCATTGATTCCCAAAGACTTGTTTGAGATCCATATAAAAATAATTAGGAAAATAGTTTTGCTCAAAGAGGAATCTCTGAGTGTGACAACCCGTCATCTGTATTAAAGGGTGCTGTGGACTTGTCTGTACTGTCGCTGTGGGACAGAGTGGACCTTTGCCTCCTTTCAGGCTAGGACGGAACGGCTGAATGGGGCGATGGCAGAGCGCTGGTTTGGGCCTGCTTCTGCCGCGTGGCGCACTCTCTTCTCCCACTTTGCTTTCCTGGCTGTGGGTTTGGTCCTGTTGGTGGTTTCCTCCCAGAGTAATGGACGCCTGGTGCTGCTTGTCACCATCTGCCCATGGGGGATGTGGGGCTCCCCAGCTCCTGCTGGCATTGTGTGAACATGAGTGTGTGTCAGGGAGGGGTTCACGTTTACCTCTCCAGGCTGCTTTTCCCACATGGCATTTTCTGGCGGAGCTGCAGTTTGAGAAAGCAGTGCCTGAATAGCAGAGGAGGACCATCTTGTCCCAGCCCAGGCTTGAGCAGGTCATTTCCCTTTAGGCCCTCCTCCTGCTCTTCCTCCTCCTCCTCCTCCTCCTCTTCCTGGGGATGCTGTGGCCACAGCATGGTGTGTTGGGAGGGCTGCCTTCTGCTGCACTGTCAAGTGCTGGTTTGTTTGGAGACTGATCATGTAAGGGAACAAACAGTCTTGTTTTGTGATGTCATTTTACTGATATAAAAGTAAGAATATCAGTTTTTATAAACTTTGAAGCATGTTTGCCTATATGTGCCTAAAAATGCCATAATGGGATTTCTGTGTTTGCATTGTAGGTGCTGGAGATCAGAATTTATTTACCTCTATTTATCCGACACTTTCTCAGCAGCTTCCGAGAGAACCGATGGAATGGAGAAGGTATGGGATCTAATGTTTGGCTGTTTCTCCCTCTTCAGGTTTTAGGCATTCAGGGGAGCAAGTGACACAATACAAGTTAAAGGCCATGTTCTAAAGTATATTCTGAGCCAGGCATGTTGGTGTACACCTGTAATCCAAGGACTTGGCAGGCTGAGTCAGGAGGTTCACCGAGATTTCTAGGCCAGCCTGGGCTACATAGTCAGTTCAAGGCCAGTCTAAACTACACAGTGAGACCTTGTCTCAGAACCTCCTTACCCCCAAAAAAGTGTGTTTTGAAGACTGGAGTGCCTTTACACAGCCCGTGGCTCTTACTCTAGAGTACAGGAGGATTTTCTTTGTGTCGCTTTGGTGCTGGGGCTTGAACTTGGGGCCGTACGTATACTAGACAAGTGCCTAGCACTGAGCTGCACCTCCAGCTCAGGATGTTGTTCTTATGAGACATGGATGCATGGATGACACTTTTTTTGCGATAAAGACCCACTTTTGCAGGAAAGACTTCTGGTTCTTCTGGGTAAGTCACAGTGTCTTAAGGCCTGGGCAGTTGGCAGAGGAGACTTGCAAGCTGAAGAGGCAGGCTGTGTGCACCAGCTTGCTCACCACCCGGGTCCCAGTGCAGAAAGATGCTCCTTAGGGATCAGGAGGCAATGGAAGAGCAGCCGGCCAGCCCTGTGCCTCCCCTGTGTGTGCGGCACAGTCGTCTGGCCAGAGGAGACGACGAAGGTGCCTGGAGCGAGATGTTCTGTGTAGAAGATGTTTGTATTTTGACTTGTCCGTATGGTCAGGTTTTAACCAGAGTGTGCACAGGCTCCTGTTGTCACTCACGTCCGGGAGTTTTGATTCTGTACCCTTCCTTCGATCGCTTGTTCTGTTCTGACGTGGAGGGTTAGTGTGGCGTCTGGTGAAGGCAGTCTAATTTCTTTGCCTGATTACAGCATCTCACAAGGTGTGCGCTTCGTCATTCCTGTTTCCTATAAGGAGGACAGAGTGAGAGAATGCTTCGCGAGAGACATTGGTCCATGTGCAGCGAGGCCCAGTGCTGTCAGGGAGAGCACAATCCAGCTGATGGAAGAGCTTGATACCTGAAGAAGTGCAGTCATCTGTAAAGGGTTTAAATAAGTAGGCATTGTTCAACATTTGGAAAGATGTCTGTTCAGAAACGAGAAGAGGGGGAAGAGACGAGTGGAGAAACTGCGGAGACCTGAGATGTACATGAATCCCCGCGCTTGCTGAAGCCCATGGAGTGACAGTAAAGGGTTAACCAGCACGGATGCGCTTGGACAGTGCCCTGGCCGGTGCTGTACTGCTGTAGAGGGGTGCCGTAGACTGGGTGTTTTCATCAACAAAAATTCATGCGGTTCGTGGTGGCAGAGGCTAGGAAATCCGAGGCTGAGGGATATTGCCCAGCGAGGACCTTCTCCCGTGCAGTCCACAGAGGAAGACATTGTGGGCTGGGGCCGGGCCCACACCTGCACATGCCACCCGTCTTGCCCCTTTGGGGGTTAAGTTTCCATCCTGAGCTCCGGACATGTTCAGACCATGGCAGACAGAGTGGGGAGAGAAGACAGCAGTTGAGAATTGAGATGCGGTGTTGGGAGGAGGACAGGTGGAGACATTGGGGGAGAAGCACCAAGAAAGTTGAACTTTAAGCTAGATTTCATGAGCAGAGGCAAGTCCTTGACACAGCGACATGCAAGGCCTGGAGGGCAGGGATGGGACCGGGCTAAGAAGGGGGTTGGCCCAGGTGTGGACGGTGTGTGCAGTTAGTGAGAGTCCCACCCTGTCTGTGCAGTGGGCTGGAAGCTTTTGCCCACCTGTCCAGCGGACTGGAGGGGCCTCCTGTGGTCACAGAAGCTCCAGACCCAAGGGTCCGAGCCCTGGAGGAGGCAGGAAGGAGGACCATGCCGAGCCCAGCAAATCTAAGCTCCGACCAGGGACAGCTTGGTCCAGTAAGTCTGCAGCCAGACCCGTGTGCCCATGCGAGAGAACTCCTCATTTCAGGACAGCTGGCAGCCCCAGGGAGAGCTGCCGTGTTCTGTACCGCAGAAGATGATACGGGGGAGAGATACATTCTCCTAAAACCTTGAAATGGGACCCATTTTGGTAGTTGCCTTGTTGTTAAGGGAATGTGCTCACGGTGAGTGTTGCAGATTAAAGGAGACCCCCAAACCCAATAGTGTCCTTAGAAGAGACATGCAGGGAGAAGATAGACACACAGGGGAGATGGTGGCAGAGTTGGAGGGATTCAGCCACAGGCCTGGTTGGACAGGGGTAAGAAACCTCCCACAGAGCTTGCAAAAGGAGCCGACCCTGCCAGCACCTTGTGAAGCGTTGTGTCCTGAAGTGGGAGCGGGAGAGCTGGTGTTTCGGGCAGCCCTTGGAGACAGGGAGGCCGAGCAGGTCGTCTGGGGGGGTGTGTGTGCACAGTGGGCCAGAAGCCTCCTAGTGCCATGTGGTGCTTTACAGTGGGTACTTACGACTTTGATAAAAAGTGAAAATTAATTGATTAAGTCTTAGAAATGAAGGAAAATGCAACCAAACAGCTGTATGGCTAAGAGCAGATGAGCACGTTGGGTTGGGAGTCTGGGTTTGGGGCTTGGAGGTGGCTGCTAAGAGCAGAGCTGGAGACAGGAGCCAGAAGCTGAGGATGCAGGCTGAAGCCCACTGCACAGAGGTGGTCGGGGCTGGCCGAAACTTACAGACCCAGAGGTTCCTGGTGGGGGCCAAGTGCCAAGGAGCCTGCTGGGTGACACTTAGATGAAGAGAAGTCACACACCGGGCCAGGAGGGCAGGGACGGGGGAAGAGCCAGGTGCACAGTCCAGCCGCGTGGCACCCATGTGCTGAGGGACAGTCCCTCTGACCAGAATTCCTCAGCAGTGGCCCCTTGGTGAGGGGAGGGAGCGGTCACAGCTCCTCCTGAGCCTCAGGGCAGGCTGCCCCTGGCTGTGGGGCTGGTGCTGTGGTAGAGGGCAGTGTCTTCAGACTCCTGAGATCACAAGCGTACCACTGCCCATAACTATAAAGAGTACGTCTGCAGACAGTGTCAGCTTCAGTCTTTGGGGGTGGGCGCATACTAGGGACATGCTGAATTACATCCCCAATACCCATTTTTTACTTTTTATTTTGGAGACAGAGTTTTGCTAAATTACTAAATTGCCCAGGGCAAGCTTGAACTTGAGATCCTCCTGCCTCGGCCTCCCAGAGTGCTGGGATTACAGGTGTGCATCATCACACCTGGCTTAACTTTAGTCTTTATGTGAAAAACTCAAGATTAACCTTAGATAAGACATAGTTTATAGCTTGCAGGGTATTTAAAGTAAAAATTTAATCAATAACAAAATAGAAATAGATGGTTAAGCTTTCAAGCCAGCAGGTCAAAAGGGTGAAAAGAGAAAACTTATGTCTCACAAGTGACAGGAAAAAATAAGAGCTTGCAAAGAGAAAATCCCTGAGTTTGTCTGGTGTAACAAGTAAGGATGTAACAGTGATGTCTCTTCAGCCACACGCTCTTAGTGGGCGTTCAGACCCCTAGCCAGGGACCCTCTGTGTGCCCAGAAATTTAGATCTGGGAAGAAACCACTGGTTTTCTGAAATGCATAGCACTTCTTATTGATTTCTCCTTTCCCATCGTTGTTTTCATACTAAATAAATTCTATAAGAAAATATATAAGTTCAAGCATACAGATAGTTGTGGTAAATGTGATTGGTCTTAACTCACTGCACAAAGAGCAGCCTTAGATTGGACTAAAATCCCACCATAGATGTTGAAAAGACAGCTGGGGGGTTGGGAAGGAAAAGGTGGGGAAGATTGCTTGTGGCTAGGTCAGTACTGTAGACACACAGGGAACAGCGCTGCCTCCTCCCTTGGCCTTGGTGAGCCGGATGTGGCTTAGGGTGGGCTTTGTAACCTATTTGAGGGCTACAGACAACAACCTGTTCTTTTTCACCAAGTAATACTGCTTCTTGGCTAGTACAGGTTGTCCTAAGAGCCTTAGTGTTATTGAAGGCTTGAGTAACTTAAGACTGCACTTTTGACTGGGGACACTCGCTTCCTGTTTGAGAGGTGAGTCTGTGGCCCCGGTTAGGCTGGACATGGACCGTGGCAGGCAGATAATTCACACTTGGAGTTGTAACGTGTGCTGAATATGTATGCTTCGGACTCTCATATTGAGTATTTATTGTTACTCCCCTTCTCTGCCGGACACCATCAGGCTGTGGTCTCCTGACTCTTACACTGTCTGTAGGTCCTATGGCCGGGCCCCCAAGATGATCCACCTCGAGTCAAACTTTGTTCAGTTCAAAGAGGAGCTGCTGCCCAAAGAAGGAAACAAAGCTCTGCTCACCTTCCCCTTCCTTCACATCTACTGGACGGAGTGCTGTGTGAGTACTCGTTCCGGGGACCGTGCTGGGGTAGGGCTGCGTGTCGTGTGTGCAGGCTGGGTTTCAGGCTGGCTTTGGGCTGTGCTCTCTCTGGGGTGCTCTTGTCCTCACTCCCAGCCCATGACGTTGTCCAAGTGTGTTTCTGCTCCCGTCCAGTGCGCGGCACCCACAGGGACCCCAATTCCCAGTCTTAGGACCCGTACAGTCTGAACTCTGTCGAGCCCTTACTTTCAGTTCTGTTTTCACAGTGAATCTCCTCCCATTCCAGCCCGGGCTGTCCTCGGTGCCCTTCTTTCTCCTTCTTGGCTGTGTGGACTGTGTCTGTGTTTCCTCGTCCAGGACCTCGGGGCTGCTAGGCTGCAGCCTCCCATGTGCTCTGCAGCTGTGTGTTCCTGAACTCAGAATTCTTTCTGTTCTCACTAATTAACACAGGGAATTGAGATGTGTTCACTGGGTATGTGGTCACTGCCCAGAGGATTGTCATCACTGTGTGCTGCAGACACGGGCCTTAGGATTTGGCCTGGTGCAGAGACACTTGCCTGCAGTCTGGCATGCGGGTGGCTGGAGGGTCAGCAGTTAGAGCCCTGTGTGGGCAGCTTGGTAACTGAGGGACACGCTGTCTCAGAGGGCAGCCTCTCACTCAGTGTGAAGGCCCGAGCTCAGGCCCCGGCATAACGAAACCAAACTAATCCAGCCTCCAGTGTGTGTTTAGTGGGTATGCGCTGCCTATGGGGACATTCGGCTAAATCTGAGGCTATGGAGACCGTTTGGGTTCACGAGCCCTGTGTCCATCCGGCTCCTCTTGCATTCGCCCTGTGCCTTTTTCTGGAGGAGTTGTGTGGGATGGGCGGTGAGTGGGCAGCAGCACAAGGCACTGCCTGCCGGGCAAACTCCTTAGACTGCATTCAGTTTTTCCTGAGGGTGGTCACAGTGGCCCCTCTGCCTGGGGCATATGAAAATTTCCAAAGGGAAGCAATGTTTAGGGTAAACCGTGTCCTGTGTGCACACAATGTGGCCTGGGAGGCCTCCCACCTTCCAACTTGTACCTGCAGCCCCGGGCCTGCTGCTCCGAATCTTCTCTCCATGACCCTGCACCCAAATCATTCAAGTGCTTGCTCAAGGAGCTGTTTCCCCATGGCAGCTTCCTGTTTCCCCTGAGGACCCCGTCCCCATCCCACGGTGGTAATTCTTTTCCCTGGACCAGTCTTTGTTTCTCCTCTCCCTGAGAAGGAGCCGTGTCCACCCCTTGCCCTGATGCCTAAGCTGCCCCGGGTCAGGTCCCCGAGGGTCCCTGCTGCTGGCCCCTAATGCCATGGGTGCATTCTGACTCTGGCCCAGCAGGCTCCTCTGGGTCCTTGGGCCGCTGCCCTCATGTTGGAATCAGCTGTGTCTCTGGCACTGACCCTCTGGCAGTGGCGAGCTTTTGCTGTCAGAGCGCGGCTGCTCCCTGGCCTCCTTAGAGCTAAGAAGAGATGCGAGGTGCAGATGCTGAGTTGGCACTGACGCCTGCGGTTGTAGCAGCCTCCGTGGGCTCGCTTTTGCTCCTCTTTTCCGCGTTTGTGTCTGCGCCCAGCAGTATGGACACAGGTAGTCATATGGGATGCAAATGCACCACACGAGGGGCTGAAAACGAATGTGAGGGCAGCGCAGGCTGAGCACAGTGTGCACTTCTGGAGAGGGTACTGGCGTGGGCTTGGCGAGTCCCCCTCGGCGCGCCTGTGTTCTGCTGGCCTGTGGGCATTGAGTGCAGAGCCTGCTGCTGGTGGGGTTGAGATGCCCAGCCCATGACAGGGGTCTTCCCTTAGGGTTTCTGCCCTTCTTCCCTCCCTTCCTTCCTTCCTTCCTTTTTATCGTTTTTCCTGTTTTTCTCTATCATGACTTATTTTTTTACTAGTTATTAACAAATGTTAATTGTACAAATGAGAGTAGCTGATATTTCCATACATGTAAACATTTCTTTTTAATTTATGTTACTTTGTTGCTGCTATTGGAAAGGAGCTTTTGTTCCATTGTATCTTCTAATTATATTTATATATGCAAAGACTATTGATTTATTTTCATATTAACCTTGCTGAATACTTTGATTGTGTGAATTAGTTTTATTATTGATTCTCTAAGCTCCAAAGTGTAGGGTTTTGCAGATACCCTGTCATATCCTCTGCAAAGAGAGGATGTTGCTTCCCCTCCCTGCCTCCCTCCTTTCCTCCCTGCCTTCTTTTCTACCTTCCTTCCTTTTTCTTGTGATACTAGGCTTCAAACCTAGGGGCACGCTGCCACTGAACGACATCTCTGCCTCCCTCCTCTTTTGAATTTGAGACAGGGTCTCACTAAACTTAAGGACTTGAACTTGAAGTCCTCCTGCCTCGACCTCCCCAAGCGCTGGGATTACAGGTATCACTCCTGTGGTGAGCTTCTTCTTTACCAGTTCTGATAGCTGGAATTGTCTTTTGTGGTCTAAGACACCGCCAGACAGTAGGGGAGGTGGTGGATGTCTCTGCTTGTTGCTGGCCTTGCTAGGAGGGCTGCAGAATGCTGGCTGTTGGACTGAGGTGTGTGCTCATGGGGAGGAAGTGTCCGTCCTTTTCCATTTGCTAGAGAGTGTTTCCTAGGAATATGAGGAGAGCTTTATCAAAGGAGTTTTCAGAGAGATAATTATGCAATTTCCCCCTCATGTCTGGTGATACGCTGAGTTGTGTTCTCTTACACAGAACCAGGCCTGTGTTCCTGCTGGAAGTCCTACCTGGTCAGTCTTGTTTTCTTAATGGCATATTGGAGTCTGGTCATGTTAGGATTTCCTGCATCTGTGCTGTCTTCAGGAGGTTCAGGTATTGGTGTTGAACTTGACGCATAAGAGGACCTTTTCACTTTCTGTCTCTGAAGCAGTTTCTGTTTCCTGATAGATGTGTGGCCTTTCAGGTCTGCTACAATTCTGTGAAACCAGCTGGCCAGGCACTTTCTTGTAGGATAATTCTGCAACAGCTTTCTGAAAATTGGTTGGTTACAGCCACTTGTTAATTTTAATACCCTGTATTTTTAGGAGAAATTATGCATTTCAGTTAAACTCTAAAATTTATTTTCATTGAAATGTGGTCTTTTTTGACTTTGAGAATGTGACCTAAATTTCCCTGTGATTATTCCTTATTTTGTGTATCTGTTCTTTCTTTTTTTTTTTTCCTTCACTAAACTAGTGGTAGCTTATTGATTTTTTTCAAAGAGGTGGGATTTTTCATTAGTCTGACTTACTGTTAGCTTGTTTTCTACTTCATTATTTTGTTTTCATTTTTTAAATTACTTTATTTTTGTTGTCCATGGCTTGCTTTGCACTTTCTGTGTTTAGTTTTTGTTTTTTAAGTTTTAACAGGCCTTTTAAAGTCATGAATTTTCCTCTGTTACTTTGAATATGTCCCAGGGTTTTATCATTATTTTTCACAAATTCTCTATTTGCTGTTTGTATTTCTCCTTCTACCCAGTTGGTTTCCAGAAAGTTTTGTTTTTTTTTAACATTTTCAATAAAAATTTCAAATTTTCTTGCGTTGTGGTCAGAAAGCTTGGTTACGGCACTTCTGCTCTTTGTATCTTGTGTTTTCTGTGACCTAATAAGTGACTGGCCTCGTCTTTGCCTCGTATGTTTGAGAATGATTTACTCCGTGTTTAGGCTGTGGTGTGAGCGCAGGTATTCGCAGGGTCTTTCTGGCTGCGTTACCGTGCAGGTTAGCTCTTGCCCACTGGCCTGTGTGCAGAGTCTTTTGTTGGTGGTGGTTCTGTTTCTCCAGCTTCTCCATAGCGGTGTAGCTGCAGCCACCTGGCATACAGACTTTCTTAACTAGCCAAATTTGAATGAACCGACATCTGTCATTTACAAATGTGGTTTTTAGATGTTATGACTTGTCTGATGAAGATAGTGACTAGTTTGTCTTTTATGTATTCTTGTAATGATTGTATTACCTGTGATATCTGATCTGGTAGTGTCAAGTTGCTTTTCTCTGGGGAGGAGCTGTGAGGTTGAGGGTGTAGAAGGTCTAACTTTCCTGTCCAAGTGGCAGTGCGTTAGCTCAGCACCGTTTCATAGCCTTCAGACTGGTTCCCCCCCTTATCAGAAATGTTATCTTTATTTAAAATCAGCATCCTGCATCTGCAGTACAGGATCTGCATGCAGTGTGCTCAGTTCTCTTGATCATTGTCTATTTCTGGCCCAAATCAGACTTTCAGTTATTACATTTGTATTATATGTGTGGATATCTGTTCCTCCAGAGCAAACCTCTGGATAGTCCCTGTCTTCTCCGAGGTCGTGTGAATTGTGTTTCCTGACCCTGGCTGGGACCCATATGTCTGGTCCCCCTGCTCTTCTCTGCGTGGTGACTTTCTCTGTTGAAGGCCAGGTCTGTGTTCCCTCCACCTGCACCTGGGGGCGCCTCTGGCTCGCAGTGACTTTCAAGCTCGGTCAGAACAGGCAGTACCATGCCTTCTGCTGGGTCCTCTTAGACTCTGCTTGCACCCCAAGCAGCCGGACACCCCAAGGGCAGCCTACCCAGCTCCTGCCAGAGTCTGCCTCAAATGTTCTCCCTCCAGCCTGCAAGTATGGTGCTGCCACCGTGGGTGCAGAGACCGCCTGTCTGCTGTGCCCTGGCTGTAGGTCCCCAAGCTAAGGGAGTACGAGAAGCCACTGCAGCGTAGGAGTCTGGCTGTGTACCAGCAGATAGCGGAGCGGCCGTGAAGGAGGTGAAAAGGTGCTTAGATTTGGTTCATTGCAGAGGAATTTTAGCAGTTGTGACTCTTAACTCTTGGAATGGTGTGATCTCCATTTTTGATGCCTTTTTTATGGCCTTTAGAAATCTTGCCTTTTTGGTTCTTTGGTTTAGTTTTTTTTTTTTACATAGATATACTAGGTTAAGTTCTTTGGTTTAGTTTTTATGACCATTATGAATGAGATTTTCCTTTTGACCTTAAAATGACATTCTAGTAGGGAGCCTTGCAAAAAGTCTTGATTTCTGCTTACATAAAGGTGTCTGCAGTAAGCTGATGGTGTTGAGGACCGAGCAGTGCTCTGTTCCACAGCCGGGGCCTCAGGGTGGAAAGTCTGCTTCTCCGGTGTGGGTGTGGGCTCTGCCGGGGCCTCCTGTCGCCCTGCTCCGAGGACCCCACTGTGCATTGGTTGCTGCAGCTGCTTCAGGCCTAGCTGAAGAGCGGGAGTGGCGCTGCTGTCTCCCCTGCCTGCTCTTTGCTCTCCCGCCTGCGCCGGAATTGGTGTGGGTTTAGGGGTTTGTATCGCAGGTCCGTCGGTGGCCAGTTCTCTCAGCTTTTGCCTTCATTTATGAAGAATATTTTCACAAGTAGGGCATTTTAGTTTGACAGTTTTTTCTCCCCAGAACTTTAAAGATGTTGCTCTCCTGGCTTTGGTTTTCATTGTTTTGCCTGAAAAAAATGTTGTCTTTGTTACTTTGTATGGAAATGTCTTTTCTTCTTTGGGTTTAAGATTTTCTTTCCTTTATCATTGGTTTTTAACAGTTTGATTTTGATTTGGAATACATTTCTTAATTTTTCTTGTGCTTGGGGCTTCGGAGCTTGTTGGAGTAAAATTCAGATCAAATTTGGAAAGTTTTTTTTTTCATCATTTCTTCAGCTAGGTTTTCCTGTGTCCTTCTTTCAGGTCCAGAGGCGGAGACTGATGGGGTGGACTGACTGCAGTCCCGCAGCTCTCTCTTGTCTCAGGTTTCCTCTCTGTTACATTTGGATGACTCCTGGTGCTTGTTTTAATGTTGACTGGTCTTTTGTTTTGCATTGTCTAGATGGCTCTTGCTTTACCTAGTCTGTTTTTCATTTTAGGTGTTGTAGTTTTAATCCCTAGGAGTGCCACATGAGTCCTTTGCTTCCTCTGTTTCACTGCAGTCCTCTGCCTCTAGCTTGTACGATATGCTTGCTACCTTGCAGTGACTGTTTAAACCCAGGGCCTTCGCACTGAGCTACCTCCCCAGTGCTTTTTGTTTTTTATTTTGAGACAGTCTCATCAAGTTTTCCAGTCTGGGCTCGAACTTATGATCCTCCTGCCTCAGCCTTTCTGAGTGCTAGGGCTGGGATTGCATGCCTGGCTTGATTTTTCTACTTGTTATGAATTGTATGTTATTTCCTTGCTTGCTTGCCATTTTTTATTAGATGGCAGGACTGTGAATTTTATCTTCAGTGCTGTATTCCTCAGTTTTTCTGAGCTTGCTCACGTTGAAGTCAGTAAGTTTGGTTCTTCTGGTTGTAGCTTTTTTTGTTGTTGCCATATTGGGAATTGAACCCAGGGCCTTAGCTATATCCCAGCCCCTTTTATTTTAAAACAAGATCTTGCTGAATTGCTCGGGCTGAACTTGACAGCCTCCCATAATGCTGGGATAGTTGCAGCTTTTTTGACATGGTAGATCAGGAGCAGGGATGAGTGCAGGAGTAACCACTCCACTGCACAGCAGGACTGTCCTGCGTTCTCTCTAAGCCCTGGTCCCATCCTGTATGTGTGCCTTGTGCTGTATCTCATGGCTTTCTGCCACCCGGTATGGTTCTCACGTGTGCTTGCTTCTGAGTCCCTGGGAACATGGGGCCACTGCAGTCCCTAGTCCGCACGGGAGCCCTGTCCCTCTGCTCTGGGTCTCGACATGGGGCCTGCTGTCTTTCACCTCTCCTCCCCTAACTGTGCCAAGGCCCCGGACATTCATGACCCTGGCTGAGGCACTTGGAGACCCTGCTTGTCCCATCTTGCTGGGCAGCTGCCCCACTGCCTAGGTCCAGGGCACTGAAAATGCTTAGTTCATGGTTTTGTTTCTGGGTCTTCCTTAGTTGTGCCAGGTGGTGGTTGCATCTAGGCTTTGTACTCCCCGTGGCTGGAAGCGCTTCCTGGTTGGCCCTGTGTAAGCTTGGGTTCCTAGTTCTCACTGCAGTGTTCTTATTTTGATACTCAGGTTGTCCTAGCTTGGCTTCTGTGACCTTTTGAAACGTCCTTCCTGTCCTGAAAGGCCATCCTGTCCTCTCCATGTCTCAACCCTCAGGTCCGCTGTTGGGGGAGAGAGTAGTGGGGGAGAGCTGGGGGCACAATTGGAAAGTGTGCATGTGTGCACATTTGCACTGATGCTCATTTCCATATGTCGCTGTCTGCATGCACACACGTGTGCACACATGGTCCATCTGCCGCCCAGCCCTGCACGTCACCTCCAGTGTTCTCCTGTCTGCATTGGCACAGCCCTTGGGAGTCAGTTTTCTCCAGCCTCTGCGGCCTGCCCCCCCATGGTGGGCCCTGTCCTGCCCTTGGCTGCCCTGCTCTGGAACAGCACAGTCCCCCATCCTGCCTCTGACAGGGACACCCTCTTTGTCCTGCTGAGTCTCTGGCCCCCAGGACATCCCCGCATTCCTTCATCACATCACCTGAGGTCCCATAGCTTATTCTGTGTGCCCCCCCCGTTGCCCCCTGGAGCTGGCACCTCCTTGGTGTGGCTGAACTCTGAACCTGGAGGCCTGCTGTGTGCCTGCCCCTTGCTCCGCTGCACATGGGGCCCTGCTCCTTAGTTCCTGTCCTGGTTGTTGCCCTCTCTGCTTACATTCTGTTACTGAGTGCCATTCACCTTGCTGGCTCAGCTGAGTCTTCTGAAGGGTCCCGTGTTGCTCCGGTGACGTCTCTGCGTCTGCTTCCTGTGGGCTGGTATTCCTGAGAGCTGTTTGGGAGTCTGTTCTCCCTCTGGCCTCTGCAGATCCCTGCACACTGGCCGTGCCTGGCCGTGGGTGTCTTCATCCTGCCCCCACCCTGCGTGGCTGTGAGGATGTGGAGGGCCTGCAGCCAGACTCACCTCCCGGGCCCCTGGTTTTGCTTCAGGTGCTTGTGCTTTGGGGGCTCTTGAGACCCCATGGCACACTAGCTTTGTGAAACCTAAACGGAACCCTAAACCTACCTTCCTAGAGAAGCTGTGCCGCCAATGGATAGCTTCCTGTGCGAATTAGAACCCTGAGTTTGGCAAGATGGTGTTCCTCTCCAGGTGCAACTAAGAGCTTTTGGGGCCTGTTTCTAGTTTAACCAGGATATATAGTTTTAAAAATTGGGTTAAAAAAATGTATGCACTGCCTTTTGGAACTTTGAAGTGATTTAAGTCAAAAGAGGGACTGGGTAGTGTAAGGTTTCACCCACTTGGGGGATGGTCACATCGGCACACGCGGCGTGAGCGTTGTTCAGGGACTGGAAATCTAGTGTGTGGGGTGGACACCAAGGGGGAACCAGGGAAGAGGGAAAGATGCTCGCGTTTAAGTGAGTGAAGTATCTTGGCTTTAGGTTTTCTAAATATAATTGGCGTTAGAGTCTGCAGAGTGGATTTATAGTGCATAGGGATAATTAGTTACAGGGCTGAAAATGTAGCTCAGCAGTGCAGTGCTTGCCCAGTAGGCAAAAGGCCCTGGGTTTGATTCCCAGCACCAAAAAAGAAAAGAGGAGAACAGTAAAGTTACAGTTAATAGCACCTGCTCCCAGTCCTCACCGGAGACCTGAGTGGCCCCTTGCTCTAGTGCACAGTGGCACTTTCTCCAGCAGGCCAGCGCTGGGGACTGAATGAGGGCTCTGGCTGGAGTGGCGGTGTGAGCTGCAGTGTGGAAGTAGCTGAGGCTGCCACACGGACGGTGCTGCCTTGGAGACCTTCCCAGCGCCCAGAGCCCCCGTGCTGCTCTGGGGTGAGCTGCCTGCTGTGGCCACCGACTGACATCGCACACATTGTGTGGTGTGATCTGCAGAGCGCTGAGGAATCACTCACAGTGACTTCTTTATTTTTAGGACACAGAGGTGTACAAGGCTACAGTAAAAGATGACCTCACCAAGTGGCAGAATGTTTTGAAAGCGCACAGCTCTGTGGACTGGTTAATAGTGGTAGTTGAAAATGATGCCAAGAAGAAAAACAAAACCAACATCCTTCCCCGAACTTCCATAGTGGACAAAATAAGAAATGACTTCTGTAATAAGCAGAGCGACAGGTAAGTGCACATTTCTTTTACCTCCTTTGGTTGCTGTGGGGCTGATGGCAGGTCTCTGACTTCTGGACCTGTGGAGAGGCTGGGCCCTGTCCCCCAAGGGTGTGGCTGGCTGGAGAGGACCTGGGCCAGTGACCCGGGGAGACCACATGGTGGCCTGCCTCTGAAGCCTGACCCTGAGGTGCCCTGCAGTGCTGGCACGGAATGGGTTCCCTAGATTTGCTGTGTGCTGGGGCTGCTGTAGGTAGGAGTGCCTGTGTGCCGACCCAGGGGCTGGCTTTCCTCCTGTCCTGCTTTCTCCCTCTTTGCTGACCCCAGCCAGCCGCACTGCTGAGGTCAAGCACCAGCTCGGAGAGTGTGTGTCCCTTCTATCCTCAGGCGCCCTGCCTGCCAGGGAAGAACCTGTATCTGAGTAGAGTGACTGTGTGGCTGGTTTTCAGTTTTCTTCTCGGGTCTGATGACTGTCACAGTGGACTGTGGACTGTGTCACTTTTTTTTTTTTTTTTTTTTTTTTTTTTTTTTTTTTTTTTTTTTTTTTTTTTTTTAGACAAGGTCTCACTGTGTAGTTTAAGCTGGCCTTGAACTCGGGAACCTTCTGCCTCAGCCTCCTGAGTGCCAGAATTACAGGCTGTGTCGCTTTTTGCCTGTGGAGATATGATTGCTTGGATGTAGGCAGCTCTCCTAGAGGGTGTGCTGGGGTGAACATAGAACTCATTTTCTTATCTCTTGGTAGTGCAGGTAAAATATCACTAGGGACAGGTGTGGAAGCTCATAGTATCAAGATTTCAAACTAGTTCAGATTTATTCCTTTTCCTTCTCCATTACTATTTGCAAGGCTGAAGAAAGGCACCATTTCCATCTAGTAGACAAATACAGCTCCAATCACTGGGAGCTTTCTTGTAATGTGATGACTTGGTGCCTTTATACTGTGTGGTGAAGCCTGTCTGAGAGGCTTTGGACCGCACATTTGGTAGCTGCCTGGCAAAACAGCAGATCTATTGGGAGGGAGATGGGGTCCTCCAGGGCCCTCTGGGCAGCGGCATGGTCCCAGAGTGAGCAGGTGTGTGTGCCCAATGATGTGGGAAGGCAAAAGGCGGGGGCAGCCCGGCTGCAGCAAGAGTTGAAGCCACATCCAAGCTTGGACCAGTCCTGCAGAGCCAGGTTGAGCTCTGCCTTTCATCTGGCTGGGTAGCTTCAGACAGGTCTTTCTGTCTTTGCAGGTGTGTCGTGCTGTCCGACCCTTTGAAGGACTCTTCCCGAACTCAGGAATCCTGGAATGCCTTCCTGACCAAACTCAGGACGTTGCTTCTTATGTCTTTTACCAAAAACCTAGGCAAGTTTGAGGACGACATGCGTACCTTGAGGGAGAAGAGGACGGAGCCAGGCTGGAGCTTCTGTGACTACTTCATGGTCCAGGTACTTGGCTGGCTGCACCTCTGTGCTTTCTGAGAAGGCAGCTCTCTCGGGGCATTCTCACGGCCCAGTTTCGAGGACAGTGTGCAGTAGCCAGGGCAGGCCTTTCCTCCTGCAGCTGATGAAGCCCCAGAGGGCAGTGGATACCTCTGGGTGCTGTCTGCCGTGAGTTCGGCTGAGAGGGCTGAGCCCAGGACGCAGGTGTTTGTTCACAGCCTGGGGCCGTGGGCTGAACAGTGGCTTCCGAGGACACATGCTCCATGGTTTTGTGCCATGACCTGGGTTCCAGTAGATTATGTTAAGCTAATTCTTCACTGTAATTTACCAAAATGTTAAGGCTTTTAAAAAATGTAACTTTAGGGGGCAAGGGAGTTAGCTCGGTGGCACTGCGCCGGCCTCGCAAGCACAAGGTCCTGAGTTCAATCCCAGGAATTGAGAGGAAAAAAATATAGTTTTAATGAGCTTTTTACCTTCCAAGATGAAAGTCTTAAATGAACAGAGGAATGGGAGATGGTCATCTGGGGGCATGGACTCCTCTGAATACTGAGAGAGATAGGAGTGATGCTCTCAGGGTCCCTTGTCCTTATTTTTTATCTCTTGATGAAGAAGGCACAATTTTATACCCAGGTAGCAGCTGTGTATTAATTTCTGAAGAAATAATGCACTTTGAATAAACAAAAGAACCATTCTGATTAGAAATTTTGATTTCTTCTGAGGCTCTCTCAGGAATACTTGGATTATTTGGTACACGCAGGAGTATTGGAACGTGTTAATAATTTGCTGTGATTGTTGTGTGGTAAACCTTTCTGATTGTCCCATCTCTTCGCTTTTCAAACCGTCAGGCTTGGTCTACTGGAATTACAGACAGAAAGGCAGGGCTAAGGGAATCCAGGGTACAGGGCTGGGAGAGGTATCAGTGTGCACGTGGAGGGATGGGTTCAGAATGGACAGGAGTGTGGGCGTGTGCACAGGGTTGGTCCTCCACAGGTCTGGAAGGGAGGGTGTGCTTAGTTCTGGGCTTCGGTTCCTAAACTCCATCCTCTGCTAACAGGGATCGGAGCTCCTTGGAAGGACGGTTGGTGACAGGGCCAGGGAAGATCATGTGGGGCGGGGAATGAGGGGGGTCACAGAGACTGGCATCTGAGGACATAAGCCCCACCCTGGGGAGTCTGCTGAGGGATGGGGCCAGATGCATAAGGACAGAGGGGTTGTTGCTCAGGGACTAAAGCTGCCACCCCTGCTTCTGTGTGATGGGAACAAGCAGTTGTTTTCAAAAGGCCAGTGGAGAAGTTCATCTCCCATGGAGCTTTGCAGATGCAGGGAAGAAACACAAAGTTCCCTCAGGTAAGGGCACATGAAGAGCAAGGAGGCAGGGTACTGACAGGTGCCAGAGTCGTGGGCACAAGTCTGGGGTGGCACCCTGTGGTCCCCCAGCTCTGCCCCTGGGATGGCTGTGAACGTTGTGGGAGACCTGGCTTGTCAAGGCCCATAGAGAGACAGGTCTGAAAATCACGCAGGAAAGCACCAAGGGAGCCTACACGAAGGCCGCTAGAAAACCAGCACCAGCACCCCAAAGCTGCCGTGGTCCTGGAGGAAGGGAAAGTCAAGGAAACCGTCACAGATGGCAGGAGGTTGGGACAGCAACTGGATCCGTGTGAGTCGTGGGGAAGAAAGCAGCAGTTGGTGGAAACTCACCAAGTTCCAGTAAGGACTGTTTAAGGAGCAGTGGTGCGCTGTGTTCATTTCTGCTTCTGATCATAGTACACAGTTACGTGAGATGTGAACGTTCTAGGAAGCTGAGCAGGGGCTAGATGGAAATCCTGGAATATTTTTGGACCCCATTCTCTTAAGTCTAAATTAATTCAGAATGAAAAGGGAAGGGAAGCACTGTGACCAGCATTATGCCATGGATGGGCCCTGAGGACATTGTGTGTGGTGACAGGACAGACTCCGTGGTTCCTGTGGACCAGGTTCCCACATGACCCAGTAGAAGAGGAGCCGGGGCTGGGAAGGACTGGGGCACTCATCTCCTGGAGACCGGGCTTTGGTGTGGAAAGGAGAAAGGTTTCCCAGCAATGGATGTACTTAACACTCCTGAACGGGACATTTCAAAACTTGACAGTGGTCAACTTTGTTACATGTATTTCATCACAGTTGAAAAACTGAACCTATTGGAATGCTTGTTCTCACAAGAAAATGAAAGGCGAGGTCAGGATGCCCCACTGTGTTAGGGACAGCTGGGCAGTGGCAGCGGGAAGGAGTGGGCTGGGAGTCCTGGCCAGTTCTTCCCCGCTCCTCTGGGCATACTTGGTGGTCAACATCTGCCACTCACAGCCCACTGACCTCTGCACACAGGCAGGACTTTGTGCCCGGGACTCCTGTCCAGGTAAGGCGGTGGCCCTGAGAGCCCTGCTGTAGCTGGCAGTGTGGGTGTCGGGTATGGATCCCTGCCAGTGAGCACCACCCAGGCCTTCAGAGTCTTGCGCTGTCGGCTCTCACATGAGATAGGAGCACATTCCGTGTGGAGGCTGCATGCACGTGTGCTATGCAGGCTTTAGTGCATTAGGAAAAAGTCACCCATGACTACCTCGTTCAGCAGACATTGAGCATCTGTGTGTGCTGGGAGTCGTGGGCTGCAGGTGATGCCTGTAACCTCTAGGTCCTCCTGAGTGGACAATGACAGGCTGCAGGCATGGCTGGTGCGGCGTGCCGGGTGAGGTGTCGGAGAGCCGCGCTGACTCAGGTGCCGAGTGAGGCGTGCCTGGTGGGACGGCAGTGGCCTGGGGAAAGAGGAAAGAGGTGTTGCAGGCCAGGGGGAGGGCGGTGGGGGAAGGAGTGGAGGAGCCTCGGTGGTGGCTGAGTGAGTGCAGTCGGAGGGGATGCAGGGCGGATAGGAGGCAGCCTGGAGGTCTGGAGGACCTGGCTTCCTAGAGAGTACTTGGGGTTCAGCTGTGAGGGGGCTGAGCAGTTGCAACAGAGCTGGGGGAGACTGAGTAGAGCAGGGCAGGAGCCTGGAGCCAGCGTGGCTGCGTTCTCACGTGTCTGCTGGGCATCCTGGCAAGGTCGGGCCGAGTTCTGTATTCCCTGGTCCGGCACAGCTGTGTCAGGGCTGTGCCTGGTAGGGTCCCAAAGGGAATGGCGAGTGTGAGGCCCAGGCCCAGGGTGAGCCTGAGGTCTTGAGCGGAGACAAGCAAGCAGACAGAGAAACAGTGGCAGTGCGCGTGGGCTGGCGGGGCAGGTCCAGGGTGCGACATGGCCACTGTGCGGGGCTGCAGCAGCTGTCAGCGTCAGCTGGGTCTCCTGCTTCTTTCCGGGCCTATCTCCACTGCCTCACGCCAGAGCCGCACTCTCGAACCCCATGGCCTTGCTGGCTCTGGGGAGCTGAGCTGTGTTCTCTGGGTGAACAGGAGGAGCTCGCCTTCGTCTTCGAGATGCTGCAGCAGTTCGAGGACGCCCTGGTGCAGTACGACGAGCTGGATGCCCTGTTCTCTCAGTACGTCGTCAACTTTGGGGCTGGGGGTAAGTACTGCGCTGTCCCTTGGGGGTGGGTGGGCTGTAGAGGAGGATGTGAGCCAGGGTGTGGATTCAGTGGGGGCAGCCCCATGGGGTGGCTCACACCTGCGATCCCAGCCACTCTGGAGGCTGAGGCAGGAGGGTCACAGGGCAGCCGAAGTGGCCTGTGCACATGGCACGGGGCATAGGGTGCGAGTGCCCAGAAGTGGGGCCTGGCCCACATGTACCTGAGCAGGTGAGGCGCGTGGGACACTGTACAGCCAGGACACTGTACAGTCTGCGATGTCCACATACTGGCCTTGGAACTTCCCACAGCAGCAGGAGCCAGCTGGCTGTGGCACCTTTCTTTTGAACTGGGAGAGACAGCTGTAACAGTTAGTTCCATAAAGACTGAATGATTCGTTAGTGTAGACTCTTTAAGTCATGTACATTCTTTTGTGGTCCTGGGAGCACTAACTGCACCCCAGTGGTCCAGGCTCACTTTCTTTTATTTTGAGAGAGTCTCACGAAGTTGCCCGGTCTGGCCTCGAACTCACAATCTTCCTGCGTCAGCCTCCCGAGTGCTGGGATTAGACGTGTGCTGTTTGTGCTTGGCTCAGGTCATATTTGGGTCTCCAAGCTGTGTGCTCAAATGAGCACCCTTGCTGCGGTTTTGATAAGCAGATGTCCCCTCTCGCTCCTGTCCTCTGGAGCTGCCCTCGGGCTGTGGTCTGGTGGAGTTGGGAAACGAGGAGGGATGGTATGGAAGCTCATGTGGGCAGGTGCTTACCACCCCCGCTGTGGGCTGGAGCTGCCTCAGCCCCTGATGTGGATCCTGCAGTGTCCCTAGCCCTGCAGCTCACCTGGGCCTGGGTCCTGCACAGCTGTGTCTCCCCTCGGTGCCTCCTTGGCATGGTGGGGCAGTGTGCGCTGCCCCTGGGTCCGTGTCAACTCCTGCCCTGTGTGGTGTCATTGCAGGAGCTGCCCCTGTGCCGGGCGTGCTGTCGGGCCGGCCACGGGCAGAGGAGGGGCCTGGGGCCTGAGCAGGAGTCGCAGCAGACGGTCTGTGCCAGCACCCTTCCTGTGTGTTTATTTAGATGGTGCCAACTGGCTGACTTTCTTCTGCCAGCCGGTGAAGAGCTGGAACGGCCTGGTGCTCCGCAAGCCCATAGACATGGAAAAGCGGGAGCTGATGCAGAGGCGGGAGGCCACGCTGCTGGACCTACGCAGCTACCTGTTCTCACGCCAGTGCACCCTGCTCCTGTTTCTGCAGCGGCCCTGGGAGGTGGCACAGCGCGCCCTGGAGCTGCTGCACAGCTGCGTGCAGGAGCTCCGGCTCCTGGAGGTGAGTCGGCCCCAGCCGCAGCCCAACTGGGCAGGGAGAGGCTGCTCCCGAGTGTGCTGTGTGCTCCGCGACTTCTCCCATCGAGTGACTGTTCGGAGCCAGACAGGCTCAGGGCCCTGGTAGACCGGTTTTGTTGTGGGGCTTTAAAGGTGACCCTGGCTTACCGAGGGAGGCCCTTTCCTGCTGTAGGCTGGCAGCGAAGGACACTGCCAAGTTGTTGTGGACGAGGGTACTGTTTCAGGGCAGCTTCTCCGATAGCTGACGTGTGCATGGGCACAGGCAGCAGTGTGGACGGCACTGGCAGGTGTAGACACAAATGTGGAAGAAGCCAGTGAGCGAGAGTGAGGTGCTGAGTCGTTTATCTGTAGTGAACTTGTTGCCTTTAAACATTGTTTGCCTGACCAGTTGTGGTGGTACATGCCAGTAATCCCAGCTGCTTGGGAGGCTGAGGCGAGAGGCCAGCCTTGGAAGCTTAAGGAAACTATTTAATAACAATTTTAAAAATCTACTGAACTCATTTACTGTCCATAGAATCATGAACGTCTTAGTGAGGAAAGGGTTTCAGTGGCTTCTTTCCCCAGAAAGCCTCACATGGGTGCACACAAGATGTTCCGTATAGTTCAGAGGACGTACGCCCGTCCACCCTGCTGTCCAGGTAGACCTCCTGAGTGGGCTGGACGGCTCCCAAACCCTGGGCTCAGGAGCAGGCTGTCCAGGCCCTGGCCTGGTCCACACCAAAGCCCCTTATAAAAGCCTGTAGAGCAATTGGTTCTTTAGTTAAAACATTGGTAGGGTAGTAATTTATAGTATAGCAACCTATTTTTATGTACCCTGGAGTACTAAATAGCTGGCTTGATAGTTTGAAATATTTTTTGACGTGTTCCTGGTGGCTGAATCACCAGTGGTACATGCATGACTGTCCCATCAGTTGGCTTTACCGGGTGGTACAGATGGATCTATAACTCTCATTGGTCTTTTTTCTAGTAAAATTAATAAAGCCTCCCGATGGGAGAGTCATGATGTTCTGTCTGTGGTTCGGCTGCCAGGCAGCAAGATATACAAATTGCAGTCCCATCACAAACATGTTAAAAGATGTAAAGTGTATGTGTTTTTTTAAATCTAAGTGAAGTGAGATTATTTTAGTTTCTCTCTAAAGGAGCAATTCTTATTTTGAGTCTAGCATAGCTGAGGCACAAAATCGGGAATTTAAGAATTTTTATCAAATTAATTTTCTTGCCTTAGAAATCTGTAATTGGGCAGATGAGGAAGACAGTTTTTCACCTGGAAACAAGATTCCTTCAGGCAGAGAGCCCGCTCTAGCTGCTGATCCTTGGGATGGGGCTTCAAGGCTGCCATACATAATAGGGCTTCAAGGTCAGGAGCCTGGAGCTTTCACTGAGCTAGAGACTTTGTCCTGAGAAAATACGGGGTGTGCTGGGATGTGCCTGAGAGTCCAGGTGTTTGCTCCAGGCTAAGCCAGGGCCTTACTCCAAAGCGCTGGGGCCCAGCTACACAGTTTTGTGCACCAAGTGCTAGGTCTTGGGGTTTGCAGGCTGTGCATGTGTGTGTGGGGTGTGGGGTGGGTATTCCTGCTGATTCACTGCCCACAGCAGCGCCCTCCTCCCACAGCCTGCCAAGCTCCTCCTTGCATTCTGTGATGTCTCCGGCATTCTCAAGCAGAAAGCCATCCCTGCTTGTGAACAAAGAAAGAAGTGGAAGTCACACGCTTCCCCCAGAGTGTCTGGGCTTACTTCGATCACATGGTGTCCGCTGCTGCCCTGGGCCTGTTTCTGCTTTGCGTTTGCGGCTTCTTATCCCTTCTGTCACTGTTGTCTTGACCTTTCCTTGAGCAGAGGCTGTCCCCTGCTTGAGTCATGGTGAGGTACTGTTCTGCACTTTCCAGCTGAACAAAGTTGCTTGCCAGGATCCAGGGGAGATCACACTGTCCGTGGTCCACTTCTGCAGTCTCTTTCCTTCCCACAGCTCATGGCCTGTTCCCTGTGCCCAGGGCCACACGCAGTGGGTCACTTGTGCTGGGGCCTCTGCGGTCCCTTTGGTCCTCTTTGCCCTGTGTGTGATCAGCATTAAATGAGAGCTTTGACAGAGGAGCTTCTTCTCTGCACAGACTACTCAGTCCTGTCTGATTGTTGGGCTCTTATGTGAGCCTCAGGCTCAGGAGGACAGTTGAGCACACGCGTAGGCAAGGAGGTGAGCTCTGGACCACATCATTGGCATTCAGACCCTGCTCTGTTGTTTGTACCCAGGGACTGTGAGCTGCTTACTCTGCCCTTTCAGCTCTGTCTTCCTTATCCTCAAGGGAGGCCAGTGTCAGCTGTCCTTTGGGTGGTGAGGACCCAGCGAGATTATACATGTGAGGGGCAGCTTGGCACAAGGCCTAGTGGCTAGCTCTGCGCTGTCCGTGTCAGTACCTCCAGCACAGTTCCCTCAGGGTCCCTTTTTAGTCTGTGGCCTTCTAAAGTAGAGTTAGGCAGCAGTTGAGTCCTCCTGTCTTGAACCTTCGACACGGAAGCCTTGCTGTCACCGCTGTGCATCCTTATCCGTGCATCTCATGAGGAAGTTTAGTCCAGTGGTGTTGCCAGTGAAAGACCTTCCCCTTTGGAAGTTTCATCGAGCACTATCAGTTTGCTTCCAGGAGGCCGCTTCATGTTTGGCCACACTGGCAGACCTGCTTTCCTGTGCAAGAGAGGAGAATGGTGCGTGTATGTGCAAAGTGCTACCAGAGGGGTGCATGAGAATAAGCTGAGGAAGACATTTCAGAGAAGCATCCCTGCCCCCGTGGAGACTGCACTTCATTGAGGGAGTAGGTGAGGAGAGCTGCCGAAGTAAATTTAGCCAGAGATCACAGTGGGTGTACGTTTAGGCAGGGCTGATGGATTCCCAGGGCAGGTTGGGCAGGCCAAGGTGTGAGGCACTGGCAGGCAGAGTGTGATGGTTGCCTTTTGTCCTGCAGCTGGTGGGGAGCCCTTGAGAGGCTGAGGCTGACCTGTTGCAAGAGGCCCATTGGGCCGAGATAGAAAGAAGAGAAGCATTAGATAGTGTTGAGAAGGGCTTTGGAACTGTGGTGTGAAGGGGAGAGGGAGCCTGTGAAGGAAAGCTGGGTATGTAACAACTGCTCTATCCATTTTTTTGGCTTCAGTGCTGCCTAGAGGATTAATAACATATACTTCTTCTGTGTGTGTTATGGAGGTGTGACCTTGGGCATTATATCTGGTCCTTGGCATCTCTCTGGGGCTGTCCCCCAGCTCTGCTGCCCAGCCACCATGAGGAGAGCAGCATTCCTCTGCCCCTCTGCCATGATGCTCCTGCCTTGAACTGTGGACTGAATTTCCTGAAATCATGATCCAAATAAACTGTTTTCTCCTTTAAGTTGTGGATATCAGGTATTTGGTCCCAGCAACAGGAAAGCTGACTAATACAGAGAATTAATTCTGAAGGATCGGGGTTGTGACTCTGTGACTATACCCGATCAAGTGGTTCAGAAGCCTTTGGGCTGGTTTGTTGGAGTTTGGGAAAGTTTGGAGATGCTGGTTAGAGAAGCTCTAGAATACCATAAGCAGTGATGGGTGATTCTGTTGGAGCTCAGAAGACCAGAATACTAATAGGAGCATGGACAGTAAAGGCCAGGCTCATAAGGTTTCGGCTTAGACAGAGGACTTTGTTGGGAATTGGACTAGAGTACAATGGTACCTTGGTTCACAAACACTGTTGTTTGCAAACAATTTGGTTCACAAGTATTTGGCAGAATTTTTTGTTTGCAAACTGCATTATGTGACAAACGTAACCATGGTCATCTTTCTCACATAAACACAAACATGGCCACCTTTTCCAAAATTGTAGAACAAATTAAGTTTGAACCAAGGTACCACTGTATATATTTTATACATTTTGCCCATGCCCTACCACTTTGTGGGAAGCTGAGTTTAATGGACTGATTGACCTGTTTGTGGAAATTTCAAAGCACTGCAGTGTTTAGACTGTGGCTGAGTTGGCTTAGTTACTGCTGGCTACTTTCAGCCAGATTCGTATTAAAAATTAAGATTAAGCCAGGCGTGGTGGTGCACACCTGTAATTCCAGCATTCGGGAGGCTGAGGCAGGAGGATCGCTGTGAGTTTGAGACCAGCCTGGGCTACATAGTGAGTTCCAGGTCAGTCTCAACTACATAGTGAGACCCAGTCTCAAA